TAAAACTACTTATACAAATAAATAGTGAGAACTCTTATTACCACAAGCTTTTGATTCACACACCCTCCACGTTACTATTACCATTGTCTACAACTTCCCAAACTACTACAAATCATTGCTAGTAAACATATATTATAGTAATACATATATTTTCAATTTCTTCAGCAATGCTGCTAAAAGTACTATCCATTACCTTCCCAACTAATTCTCGACTACAGTACCCCCGTCTCATTGCATAGTTTTAATACCTTTCATATCTTTATCTTGCCATCCCTTATTTGTATTACTATATGAAATTTGTTTTCTTCGGTTAATAAAATTAGATAATGATAGCGTAAAAAAAAAGGAAAATATATTGCTCCAAAATATGCATCCAGCAAGTCCAGAAAAAAATATAAATTATATATATAGGCTTCATTTAATCTATTTGATCTATTTGAGAAATGTTTTCGACTATGTTTTAGGGTGTCTCCCAGAATAATGGTTAGGACTTGGCTGGCGTACTCATGTCAGCGGCGGGGTGTGTACAGCCTAAGATACTGTGTTATAGTAAATAATATGGTGTGAAAGTCAGTGTTAGGGTGTTTTTTTTGCAATGTAAAGGTGTTAGTGGTAATGTTAGCATTTTGGAAACAGAATCAATATGCCAGGGCTATTGCCAACGCATTAAAGGCTATGTCACAAACACCTTAATGCATGCAGTACTATCGATTAGATTAAATCTATACCGCAGCTATAGATTAATAAGATGTCATACGGTTAAAGCGTTCCTGAAAAGCAAACCAGTTAAGGGAAATCATGGGGTACCATGATTAAATTGGCAGCTGGTATTTGCTAACTCCTTCATTTATCTCATGCCTACAAGGAATTGTGTACATTTTAAACAGAATGTAGGCTGTAATATAGTTGTGAGACAAAAGCAATTAGGTGCAATGGAATGGAACATTCTCATGCTTCCACTCTGTTAAATAAGTATTATATACTGTAAAATATGGTGTATATTTTGCTGTCACACCCAAAACCCATTCCATTTCCTGTCTGAGGTGAGATATCATAGAATTTTAAGCGGCATAACTCTCACACAGACCGTTTCCCTTTTCTTTGCTTCTAACAACGGGAAGGGAGTTGTCCCAAGCTAAATTCTCAGCTCTGAGCCTGTCCCCACTACATTAAGGGTTGTTCAGGGTCAAACACTATTTACCCTGCCTTTTTTTTAATGATTTTTTTGCACCCTAAAAAAAATAAAAATGTTTTGTGATGGTTTATGCAAAGAGCTTCACTGCAACAAGTTTGAATTATTCTACGTGATAAAGTATTCTAAGTAGTTTATATTCAGGATAGCACCTACGAATCTGGAGAAGTGACAAGGGAATAGCACGTTTTTATTTAAAACTGCCAAACAAAAAGTCCAATTAATTATTTATTTTTACAATTCATTTATCTTTGTAGATTGGCTATTGTGGCTTAAAATGTGCACTAACTACCACTTGCTTCTAAGTTTTCTAAATAATCTTCTCTGTTTTTAGACTTTGTCAATTAATGAAGAATATCAAAAATTCAATCAATAGTTTTTTTTTAAATATTGTGCCTGTCCCAGATAAGACTTTGTCGGCCACGTGTATTTAGCTCGGTTGATGAGTCTTAGTTGTTAAATCCTACTACAAACATAGCCAGCTACATCTACTTAGATCATTAGACATGTTTCCTAGACTCTCTCTTTTATGATTAATACTCGGTGGAATACGGTCTCCTTTAGGACTAATGCAGAATACATGGTCTCCAAGTCCAATTAACCCAACTTCTAAGACTTCTTGTCAATGTAATGTGAAACCTTTTGTGTTTAGCATTATTTCGTTTGCACAAACAGAACATTTCACCTCCAGGGCTGTCTGGCTCATGAACACAAAGCTTATCGCCTCAAGGACTGCTTTTGGCCAGTGAAAACAGAACCTGTCACTCCTAGGGCCGCATTGCTTAGCCATGCAGTCACTTCTTGGACCAAGCTGCGTAGGAATGTGCAGACCATCACCTCAGATTGGACCGAGCTGGCTAAAGGCTGTTGTTCAACTCAGGGCGCACATTCCACTCCTCTGGTCCCCTGGCCGTGTTTTCGAAGAATGCTCTGAATACAAAGGTTTCTGAACAGAAAGCAGGAGGAGGTTGGAATCGATCCTGGGCACAGAACACAGAATAGGAGGGAAGCAACACTGGGGAACCACATCTATGCCAGCTGACCCCATATTAAATAGGAACATTCCAGAAAGCTCGCCCCATGTTCTTTATTATGCTTTACAATCATAACCAAATTGCCTCTACCACTAATTTTGGGTAAGGAGGTTGGCTACAGTCAGTAAATGATTCACTGTTTAGTTATGCCAGGCAGCTGTATGTACAACTTTTTCAAAGGAAGATAGATTTTCATAATTTGGATAAAAATTTCCATAAGAAAATTTTGGAAACCTTTCAAATCCTTATCTCTTCAATGAATGTTTAACTTAATCCACGCATAACACTGTACATACTGAAGACACATACATGGGAAGAGGGGGGTTTCAGACACAAATATCCACGACTGCCAAGATGTTTAACTGCAGTTGTTAGCATATTTTTATTGGCTGCTAAAGTTGTGGAACTGAATTCAGCCATTCATAGGGAGTTCTATGAGACTATGAGCTGAGAAGCTTGCAATCTAGTGAGACCTTGAGAATCCTGCAGAGACAGGTCGGATATATGTAGAAGCAGAAATTGTATGAAAGTGATTTGTGGGCTCTGCTATAGGAATCAGTGAAATACTTGAGTGACAGATTGTGTAGGCATTCATTGCTATGAATAGCGTAAAATAAACTGACATTATCTATTAATTGTGGGATGTGATGTAATGGTTAATACACAATGCTAAGAACATCACCATAACATATTTATGTAATGATCAGTATGTCTTGGGCCCTGTAAACAATGTTGTAAAGCAATAAGAGAAAAAAAGGGGGGAGGATAGAAATCATGACAGCAATTTTATATTTTCAAAATAGGCTATGTCATGCTCTGCTTCCTATAAACACCAACAATTTAACATTAATGATTGAAGGGTGTGGGTGAACAAAGTATTACTCTTACAGGATTTTACTATATAAAATATTCCAGAGTTTTGAATCAGAGAAATTGCTTATTTGCGAGACTATAGATTAAGAGACTGGTAATTGTAACAGTAACTCCAGGGTGCCTGGCTTGGATCCAGACCCAAACCGTTACACTGTTCATCCCTTTTCCATCTGAGGACCCTCATGTGCTGAAACCACCTGAATAGTAATATATCAGGAATCGCTATTGAGCCATCTTTCTATTAAGAAACCACTGCTAGGAGCCAGAAACTTTATAGAAATTTGTTGGGAAAATTTAGGGTATTTGTACACATTACTACTGACCCATATCCAACCCACCGTTCCCCCCAATAACACTCTGGACACCTTTTTAAGTGGACAAGGGCAACGGCCACAGCTTTATTAAACCATAACACAATATTTTTAAACCCTGTCAGCTGTTGGATGAGAGCCCAAAATACAGTTCTCCATCATACTCTCCAAGAGCCCAACACAGCCGTCACTAGTCATTCTCCCCAAGGTGACCCTGCGTCATACTCTGTCCGTCTAGGGAACCTGCCAGCTGTGACAATAGAGAAAAAATAAAGCGAGATTTGCCACACAGAAGCCCTAGAGCAGTGTTCTGCAACCTTTTAACACCTGCGGCCTGGTGAAAATAGGAGAAATGTTTTGCGGACCCGCGTCAGCCAGAAATAAAAAACAATTGTATGTGTGAGGGACGCAGTGTGTGTGTGTGAGGGGTGCTGTGTGTGTGTTAAGGGTGCAGTTTGTGTCTACCAGACAGCCGCCAGATGGACTTCCCGATGCTAAGACGATTTTTGGTCATCTAAAGAACGCTGGACGTCCTCATACTATGCATAAAGACTTCCAGCATCACCGGAATCCCCATAGGAAAGCATTGACATTGACGTCAGCGCGGGAGGAGCGTGGGTGGAGCCTGACCCAGCGCCAAGGGTCATCAGCACTGGATTCAGGTAAGTTACTGAAGGGGTTTTAACTGCTTCTGCGCCGCGGAAGGGGAGGGCGCAAGGGAGGGGGGCACTGTAGGGACCTATAATGCCAGGAAAATGGCATGTATGTATTTTAATAATATATAAAAAATTAAAAAAAGAATATAGGAAAATAGCTTTGTTTTCCTAGCAACATAGAATCAGTTTAATTTTTCTATTTGTAATATTAAAACAACTTTCCAAGCACCATAACCCATGCAGCGTACTGTAGTGGTTATGGTGCCAGGACTGCCCTGGTGTCCAGTGTCCACCCCATTGTTAGTAGTCAAACCGTTTTAGAACTGTTTGACTTCTTACATGTATTTCAATTTAAGTTACTAAACTAATATACACAAAATCCATCAGTCACAATAATCCCACAGGAGGTTCTAACTGCAAACAACAACAAGGACAACAAGGACAGGTGACAGCGCCCAAATTTTTAGGTTACACAAGGGATGAAAGATAGCAAATAGACTTGTGCACAGTGAAAAAAGTTGGTCATTAGTCGCCAGCATTCTAGGCTGACAATAAATTCCAAAAAACATTTATTTATTAGCCAGCCTGGAAAAGTTACACCTCTTGAAAATCAAATACAGACTCCACGCACCACTGAAGTAACTATAGTGTACCCTTTAAGTACTAATTGTTGCTGCATTGCAAACTCTATTACTACATTCACAAACTTTAACATAGCGCGCAATAAATTGAATGAGAAACAATAGTTACATTGAATATACTTATCTGAATCTTCGTATCAAAGCTTAATGCAACCCTAATCCATTTACCCCATGGGCTCCATTAAAAAGAAATGTGAAGCACCATGACTAGTGATGTCCCGAACGGTTCGCCGAACGGTTCGCCACGGACGGCGAACATAAACAGAAACTTTGACCCTGTACCTCACAATCAGCAGACACATTCCAGCCAATCAGCAGCAGACCCTCCCTCCCAGACCCTCCCACCTCCTGGACAGCTCACTAAGAATGCAACTTCACAATTAATGTAAAATGGATGCTGTCCAGGAGGTGGGAGGGTCTGGGAGGGAGGGTCTGCTGCTGATTGGCTGGAATGTGTCTGCTGACTGTGAGGTACAGGTTCAAAGTTTATGTTTATGTTCGCCGTCCGTGGCGAACCGTTCGGCGAACCGTTCGGCGAACCGTTTGAGGACATCACTAACCATGACCACTGTAACTTATTATAGTGAATTTTGTGCTAAGAGTCTTTAAGTGGCATCTTCCAGCGTTCTGTCAAAAAAAAATTGAGCACTTTGAGCCTCTCCTCAGTTCCCATATCACAGCCAACTCTGCAGTCACTCACATAATTTGGAAATTGCACATTGGCATTATCAAGTGCAAATCCAACCAAGCTAAACAGCAATGACAGGCTAAGAGCTAGTTGTGCTTCTTTGATTGCACCTTCATATAAAAAGCCCAGATGTTATTTGTTATATACTGAAGGGCCAAATTAGCCAAGGTGAAAAATAATAGACTTGGAGAATTGATTCCAATATTCTCAATTTAGTAAATAAACCTCAGTAAATCCCGAGACACAAGAATAGGATTTCAATAAAAGTAAAAGAATATGGAAGCAGGCACATATTTACTTTAATGATGCTAGACTGTGTCTCATTTGTTGCTCTTAAGATATATGCAGCCCCACCTTGCATAAAGATACTTCCAGAGTCCATTGCATAAACTATTCATATAAACTATTCATTTAACAGCATTAATCTACTCCCCAGCCTATTATTCTAACATACTGCCCTTTGCATTGAAAAGTTGGATAGCCCTGCTTTTAAAGGACATCTGCTCTTGGGCAGATTTAAAGTTTGGTTGTTAATCAATTATTCTTCAACTGTTGAACTTTGAATTAGAACACTAGACTGGTGTTTAAACTTTGCTATATGTGGTAACGACCTTGGGCTGAAGGCACATTTAAAAGTACGATTCCGATGCTTTAAGTAATAAAAGTTCTTGACATTAAAATAAAAAAATATATCAAAAAAATATCTAAACAGAGACAGTATGATCAATTACAATGTCCTCACATAGCCTTGAACACAAAATTTAAACCACAATCCTTGAGAGCAGGTGAATCAGGTTAATTTTGATGCTATGGAGAAAGTGATGCACATTTTTTGTTATAAAGGTGCAAAGGTTCAGTATTCCTTAAACCAGGCTTCCCCAAACTCCGGCCCTCCAGATGTTGCTGAACTACAACTCCCATGATTCTATGAATGAATTAGATGGGCTGAGAATCATGGGAGTTGTAGTTCAGCACCATCTGGAGGGCCGGAGTTTGGGGAAGCTTGCCTTAATTGGTTAAGCTTCCAAAATTGCTTTTCCCCAAACATAAGCAAAAAATTGATATTTAGAAAATCCGATTCTAACATTTTTAGCTTTTATTTGCACATTGGCCCTGTATATTTCTAAATGTTTTATTAAACTGCACATTGTGAACCCTGATAATACTCTTACCAGCTTCCAATCCCTCACTTGTCACAGACACCCTGACTTCACCCCCAGCCCAGGTAAGTTAGTCTGACCATTTTTTAAGCTGAGACATATCTGTGAGTACAGCACAGTACAGCACATCCCGCCTTATCCTTCAGACAATGGTGTTTGTGTACAGCAGGCCAAGAGCCAGCACTCTGCTGGTGGACATCCAAAGGACCTGCCTGGCTTTCACTCGCAGGAATGAAGCCTCGTCAGCTCGTAATGAATAAATTATGTCTTTAAACATTTCACCCTGTCGACTATAATTTCATTTTGGACGGGGCGAGGCAGTCTGGGAATTAAGTCTGGGGCTTCGAGTTGGTGTTGTAGACATTTAAATAACAGGAAACAATGTTTTCGAGCAAGGTGCAAAAGCTGTTCCAGAGCTGGAGAGGGGTGCGCTGTGCAGGACGTTTAATGGGTTACAGTGTATTCTTTTTATGTAAACATGCACGCAAGACACTGCTCTCTGCTTTCTATAGACAGTGAAGGGGTTGTTCTCTTCAACAAAGGATATTGGGTTTATTCTCCAAACAGCGAGCTGCAACACTGACAATTTTCAGGGCAAGATACCTGAGATTGAGAACATCTCTTACACAGAGGATATATGTTAATAATTTTTTGCTTAAAAAAGAAAATAGAGACTACTGACATCTGAAGATCTTCTTAGTGCTACAAAATTTCCAGGCCCTGAATATATTGTAGTGACGGTGCAGTCAGCCAGGAACCAGCAATCTATGAGAGAGCTGTATGTTTTAGGAGATACAGAGCTCATGCTCAGATATATGCACTTGCTTTGGCCTCATTCTTTGTGAAAAAAAAAGAAAATCAATAACAATCACTCACATAAGTGAATGGGTGCTGTCTGAATTAAAAAATGTTATTGAGTTTTTTGAATGACCACAGAAAGTGACTGCATTTGGGTAGAGCACCGTGGTTTATGGGAAACATACGGCTCTCCAATGGTTAGCTGCCCACGAGCTGTTTTAAATTAAGGAAGCAACAGGAAAGTGGTACATTTCACATAAATCACACACAGAAGATTTTTGGAAATGTAAATTGTTTGTTTCACTCTTGCTCTTACAAAAATATGAGGTCTAGTGTTTCTGTAAGATTTTATTTTCAAATTATCTGTCAAATATTTTTTGTTTTCAGTTTTATGTGTAGTGGCAACCAGAGGCCCTGGGTCCCCCTCATTCCCTCACCCCCAGCTTCTCCATGTGTCTCATTCCCCAGCCCCAGATGTATCTCATATCTCATTCCTTCACCTCCAGCCCTCCATGTGTCTTATCTGACCCAGGGCCCCCATGTATCTCATTCCCTCATCCCCAGCTCAGTGAGCACTTCCTGTCACACAGGTCTGCCATGGTACACACAGGCTGGAGGGCAGCAGCACAGTTCTCCACTTTTGCCAGACACCTATGAACTGCGGGCCCTGGCCCAGTGCTGCAGTGCACCAGCCAAGAAGGTATGCAGGCGGCCCACTTTCGCAGCTGTCACCGCTGCAGCCTGTACACCACTCGTGGCAACCCTCTGTCTGAAAGGGCTTCTTGTAGACTGAAAAGGACTATTTAGGTTTTGAAAAAGATTCCCTGGCCTTATAACGGACTTTAACGTCCTGTATGAAGGAGGGACCAACAAGGTAAGAATCCACCTAATTGGGGTACTCCTGGGATTTAGGGGCTAAATCCGACATTCCTTCATTAGAAGCTGCTGAACAGACTACCACCTCAGACTCCCAATCTATTTCTGGAAAGCCATGACTAAAATAGGACTGGCTTTGGGAGAATGAAACAGCAAATGCTCCAGAAGAGAAAGTGGATGCATGGAATAGCCTTTCTGCTGAAGTGGTAGAGGTTAACACAGTGAGGGAGTTTAAGCATGCGTGGGATAGGCATAAGGCTATCCTAACTATAAGATAAGGCCAGGGACTAATGAAAGTATTTAGAAAACTGGGCACGCTAGATGGGCTGAATGGCTCTCATCTGCCGTCACATTCTGAGATGATGATTTGCCCTTTTTCTCTGAAAAGTGCTTCTGGTGCTCAAACAAGGGAAACACACTATTCCACCTTTTGGGGTGTTGTTTCTTCAATTTTTCTTTTATTCAAATGAGTATGAGGGAAAGGAAGAGCAGAGAAATGATCCTTAAATAAAATTTTTCCATATCTCATCTTTTACATGGAACTGGAACCATATTCTCCTCAGAAGATGAAGAGGATAGGTTCCTGACAAGAAAGGCTCTTTTTGGGGGGCATTCTAACATTGATGGGGCTGCCTCTAGGAGAGACATCCATCATATCTGTGGAAGACACAGATAGTGAGTCCTCCATCAATGATGCCATTTAAAAAAAACTGAGGTAATCGGGGCTTCCGTGCTCAATGTCAGCTGTCCTGATTACCTGATCGGCTGAAACGATGTTGCTGTGTGTGAGCACTAGACAAGAGTTTTTCAGCATTGGCAAAAAAAATAATTCTATATATATATTGCTGTACATTTTGCAATATTGAAAAAAAAATTAAAATGTCTTTACCTATAATACTACACTGTTAAGTTTTTGTTTTTTTTACTTTTCCTGATGAAGCATTGTTTAAAACCTTGCAAAGAAATAACAGTAGCTTATTTCTTTACCTCAATTGCTGTGAATAATGCAGTAGAGGTGAGCTAAAGATGTGCTTACTTCCACTGCATTCCATTCTGCGTTGTGACACCTTCACTGTCCCACAATGATGTGGGCATGCGTGAACTCTCTTGAGAATAATATAGATATGCAGAACTCACACAAGTGTCATTTGAACAGCGTAACAAAAGTAAAGTGTTTTAAATATGTTACGTAGCATTGCCTGGAAAATCATGTAAATGAAAATAAAATATAAAGATTTTTTAAATTTTATTTAGGACAACCAATAGCTAACTTTTCCATAGTTATTAGGTTGTGCGAAAATTGAGTGACTCTTCCTGTTTAATGCTAAGTGCCACCATGTGGCCAAAATGTTTACTACTCTGGAACAAGTACTTAACAGTGAGAACTGTTCTGATATATTGAAGTGCTATAATTTGCAAACCAAAAACAAATATATATATATTTTTCAAGCAATAATTGTATTCATTTTTAATGTGTAACTCATAGATCGCCATAAGAGAGTAAAAGTTTTAGTTTTTTGAAAAGCTGTATGTGTGAAGATTGAGGCCTGTTTATTTGAATGGAAATTGAGCACCTGCCTTGCAAAAACTTCTCATTGAGCTGCATTGGGAAGTCTGTGATTGGACAGACACAGAAAGTCTGGGAGGGGTTAGAAGGGGAGGGCTTGCAAAGGCTCCAGAGAGGAGATCCGCAACTTCTGCAAGCTGATCTCAGATGTAACCCAATGAAAAAAATACATGCATGTTTTCATTGGGATTATATCTCATGATCAGCTATTTTTATTGTTGTGTTTGTTCTTTTAACAATTATTCAGGACTCTGTAAGTTTTTATTTTTTTCTGGAAGCCAAATAAAAAATTTCTGTACCCAATTCTATTGTGAACAAAATTGAGGGTCCAAGTTTGTGCATCCATGTGAGCATCTTCATGTGTGTGTCTGTATGTATGCATGTATGCAAGTGTCTGTGTGTGTATAAATGTCTTGTTCTGTGTGTGCCCAAGCATCTGTATTTATGTATGCGTGTGTTTTATGCATGCATTTGACTTTTGTGTGCTAGCATCTGTGTGTTTGTACTGCATTGACCAGCATCTGTGTGGGTGGGCTTCTTTGTGTGTGTTTGCACTGCATTGGCTAGCATCTGTGTGTGTGAGCCTCTTTGTGTGTGCTTGTACTGCATTGGCTAGCATCTGTGTGTGATCCTCTTTGAGTGTGTTTGCACTGCATTGGCCAGCATATGTGTGTGTGAGCCTCTTTGTGTGTGTTTGTACTGCATTGGCTAGCATCTCTGTGTGTGTGTGTGTGTTTGTTTTGCATTGGCTAGCATCTGTGTTTGTGAGCCTCTTTGTGTGTGTTTGTACTGTATTGGCTAGCATCTGTGTGTGCATGAGCCTCTTTGTGTGTGTTTGTACTGCATTGGCTAGCATCTGTGTGTGTGTGTGTGTTTGTACTGCATTGGCCAGCATCTGTGTGTGAGCCTCTTTGTGTGTGTTTGTACTGCATTGGCTAGCATCTGTGTGTGTGTGTGTGTGTGTTTGTACTGCATTGACCAGCATCTGTGTGTGAGCCTCTTTGTGTGTGTTTGTACTGCACTGGCCAGCATCTGTGTGTGTGAGCCTCTTTGTGTGTGTTTGTACTGCATTGGCTAGCATCTGTGTGTGCATGAGCCTCTTTGTGTGTGTTTGTACTGCATTGGCTAGCATCTGTGTGTGTGTGTGTGTGTGTGTGTGTGTGTGTGTATGTGTGTGTTTGTACTGCATTGACCAGCATCTGTGTGTGAGCCTCTTTGTGTGTGTTTGTACTGCACTGGCCAGCATCTGTGTGTGTGAGCCTCTTTGTGTGTGTTTGTACTGCATTGGCCAGCATCTGTGTGTGTGAGCCTCTTTGTATGTGTTTGTACTGCATTGGCTAGAATCTGTGTGTGCTTTGTGTGTGTTTGTAGTGCATTGGCAGATGAAGGGTGAGGATGAACATGTGGCTCCACAAATTTGTTGGTAAAGATTGGCACTGTCATCTCTGGATTTACCACACTATGGCGTTGATTTAGTATTTTTAGATAAGCTTTTCAAATTATTCAAATCCGTTAGCGAAACTTCCCAAATTATTTATAAACAAACATTCAATAGACCTTAATGGTGACCTCTGTATATACATTATTTGGAAAGGTTTCTTAGCAGATTTGAATCACTTGAAAGGTTTATCCAAAATATTAAATTGAGACCAATGTTGGAGTTTGATATTTTTTCAGATCATGCAAAGTATTTTACCTTAATACTATCCACAAGCTTTAATATTGGTGTATAAGAAAGGCTATTTTATTTTTGTCCCCCCTTTAAGCATTTAAATATGCAAAGCGCATTTTCCTGTCCATTTCCTCCACAACAATAAATGACAAAACAATAAGAAAATTAAATGTTATAAAGATGAAATCTCTCCGAAACAGGTGGCAGTACAGGAAATTATAGCATGCCAATGTAATGAAGCTTAATAGAATGTATTTTTTGTGGTTGTTATGTTATATTACTGTTTTGGGGACCTTTTTTTAAACATTTTTTGTAGGCTTTTTCTACAACAATTAAATTACTGCAGGCATTAAGGAAAATGCACAGTTGAAACCAATTTCTTGTTTAACTGTGGATCTCCAATAAACACCACTGTCCAAATAAATATATATTTTTTAAGAATGCAGTTTAGTAGATCTGCTCCCAGTGAAAACATGAATAAATTTAATTATACAATTTTTAATTGGGGGTATATCATAAATAGCTTGCAAATGCTGCAGATCTATTGTCTGCTGCCTTTGCAAGCCCTCCCCTTCTTCCCCAGCCCAAACTTTCTGTTGCTGTCCAATCACAGACTTCCCAATCAGAAGGTAGGTACTCTGGGCAAATGCCTACCTCTAGAGTTTAAGTCCACTGAGCTACACAACCAACAAGTAACAAAACTGGTTGTCTGGTTGGCAGCCAAGTGCATATAATAAGGTTAATTTACCAATTTTTATTGATATTGAAATCTACACTTTTTGCAAAATGAAAAAAGAGGACACACTCTTCACACATATAGCAGTTCAGCAAGCTAAATGAGTAAGAATGTAACTTTTTGAGAACAAGATACAACAAATGCAGGGTGGACAATGAGAGATAATAAACTAAAATCAGCAATAATATAAGGAGTCTCTTAAAGTACAGCGAAGACCTGGAGTGTATATTCTTCAATCCTTGCTTTGAATCCTCAGTGGTAAATATGAAATACAAAAGCAGAAACAGAGACCAATAGTGCAAAATCGTTTTAGGGAAGCTGGATCACAAACAACATAGAAGTAGAGAAGTGCCAACTCACAATATATAGAGCTATGCCCAGCTCTAGGTAAAACAGCATACAGTGGTATTTAATACTCCCCACATGTAGGATATAACTGGACACTTGGAGGTGTATCCTCAAGACTTCTTACAGCATTCCAGATAAGCGTCAGCATATAAAATACATAAAAGGGGGAAAAACCCAATGGTGCAACAACGTAGGTTAACTGCAACAACAGACAACACTGAGGTCCTAAGAGTGCCAACTTACAATTGGGAGAGCTATAACCAGCACTGAGTAAAACAGCATACAGTGGTATTTAAACTCCCCACATGTAGGATATCCTTCTAGCGATGCTTGCAGTGCCGGTCTTATGAAATAAGAATCACAAGAGAGGGCTCATAGTGTTTACCGTATAAAAAATAGCATTGAAAGGTAAAATGGTACTTACGGTGTTCACAACGCGTTTCACCAAAAAACAGGCTTTATCATTTTTAGTGCATTCTTATTAAAAACACAACGCGTTTCGCCAAAAAACAGGCTTTGTCAGTTGATAAAGCCTGTTTTTTGTGAAATGCATTGTGTTTTTATAAGAATTCAATAAAAGTATTTTGCACACTTACTTTTATTTGTTGCTGTTTAATCCTGGCTGATTTTTTATCATTTTAAAGATCCAGTACTACAAAAGAAATCCCTGGTGGGGATTATTCCACCTACGCCTGGTTCATAGAGCAGTGTGGCTGCTCTGAACACTGTAAGTACGTTTCATTTTACCTTTCACTGCTATTTTTTATGCGGTAAACACTACGGGCACTCTCTTGTGAGTCTTATTTCATAAGAATTTGTTGTATCTTGTTCTCTCCATTCTTTGAAGGGTTTGAGGGTTACCCTTCCCCTCAGGTATGCAGCTCTATTTTCGCCTGTGATCAGTACTGTAGTGCTGTTCCTCTCCTATTTTTTTTTCCTGTTACGGTAACTTTTTGACATTATGTAAAAACAGCTATCGAATTGACACCACTGCACAGTGCTGCATTCATTCTAGTAAATCAGCATTGCAGGTCCAATCAATATAAGTGGTACTATTAGTTTCATAGGGTTTGGAGTCCATAGGGTTTGACTGGGGTTTAAATAGGTTTTCCCAATTAGGATTAGGGATACACCTATTCCCAAGATTCTCTGGATTGTAAAACCTATAATTTTGCTAGGCTGTGAAAGAGATAGAAACTACAGTTCCACAAATTGTCAGTGTCTACTTTCGATAGTGAGCTGACATCTTGGGTTAGAGGGTCTGCCTGCTTACCCCACACTAAAGCCGACAGTGAAGCATACACTGCCGCACACTGTGCTGTAACAATTATTATAATTTATAAAGCGCCAACAAATTCTGCAGCGCTGTATAATGGGTGGACTAATAGACACGTATTTGTAACCAGAAGAGTTGGACACACAGGAACAGAGGGGTTGAAAGTCCTGCTCAATGAGTTTGTTGTAATGATGCTCTTCTCTAATAAAAAAATTGCATTAACTGATCAAGCTTATAGACTCACTTTTGTGACAGCATTATTATAATATTGAATTATTTATTATTATTAAACTATTATTGTTCGTCAGTAAAGTGTTTATGTATACATTCTAAACACGTACGCAGTGGAAAATAACATTCCAAGTTTGAACACTGATACATTCTGATTTCCAGGGGGAAGAAAAAGGTCCAATAAAGACGTCTTCTAAAGAAGCATAGAGGCATTTCAGCCCAATAGAGATTGTTCTTTCAAGAGAGGGGCCTTTGGGTGACATATAAATAGTTAAGACTTCCACCAAAGGAAACTTGGTATGAGAAAGATAAAAAAAAACACAGATATGGACTAACTATGTACAAAGTGCTGACAGTATAATCAATGAACAGAACGCTCTCAGTCTATCCAAAGACTAAGATAGATTGTATCGTATTGCCTTCTCTATTAAACATATAGTGACCTGGTGAATTATTGACCAAATAGAATGCGGTTTTAAATTATAAGTATATCATACAGCATGGAGACAGGGTGACAAAACGTTGTTAAAACTATAAGCATGTACCTTTTGGAATGGCCTTTGGCTCACATTGCTTTCCATGAAAAATGTTAGAAGAAGAGAAAAAAAAAAAAAAGAATAGTAAGAACGATGTAGCATGAAACATCCTAATAGAAAACGTTTATATTCTCTCACAAATTCTGTTCCTCTTGCCTCCCCACCCCTTCTCCTTGGCTCTGTCCCCTTGTGCTGGCTCTGTCGCACATTCCTTCTAACTGATTTCTCCACTGCTCAGACTTTGCTGTTAAACTGCATGTTTTCCGATGAAAAACAGTCACGGAGTTCCAGGAACAAGTCAGTGTCTGAGATCTCCAGATCCATGATGGCTGTGGGGCTCGAACGCTCTTTAACGAGGTGGTCAACTCAACAAGGTTTCCGTCTCTAATTCTGCACTTGTTTAATCCCTTTGTCACTTGAGGGACACGTAGTGTGCTTTAAAACCACTGACTCATTAATTTTGTCATTTTTACCATACGTTCACACAGAAAAAAGTATACACATATTCCATGAAATGTGTTCTCCTGACTGTAATGTGATATGCTGAGATAAATCAGATAAAGTGTTTTGGTCTCCAAACTTTGCAAAATTAAATATATGGTTATAAAAGGGTTACACATTGTGGCGGGACCGCTGGCTGTCCGTAAATTGCCCTCTTCTATATTCGTACATTCCCCAGTATAAAATGTGTGTTTCCACTGTGTAATATGCCTTTTAACCGTGCGGGGACGCTCCGGCACACAGTTCGCTTCCCGAACGAGGACCACCCCGGTGCCCCATTAGAACGTTCCCACCAATTAATCAGAACGTTCGCACTTGCAACATAGGTGTGAAACCACAAGTGAAGTAATTAATGAGTGCTCCCCTGGGTGGCCGCAAGGGGGAGCATTCCCCTGGGTGACCACCAGGGGGAGCGTTCGGATCCCGAAGAGGGACACTTCCCATGCGGGAGCTTCGCACCAGGACTCCAGGGACTGGTCCCTGATGTTGGTGGGGATATTTCTGGGGTACTGGTTGTCCAGATCACCATAACCTACTCGTAAAGGAGCCGTAATGCGAGGCCAGGTTCGTAGCTGCCCAAAGAGTGCTCCCCAGTGGAGGTGGCCGCTGGGGAGAGGCGTGAGCCCCATTGGGGACCCTAGGGCTGTGAGTCAGCTTCACTGCCGCAGAGTCCCCGCTGGCCACCTGGAAGTCCCTGCCGACCAATGGGAGAAGGCATTCCCATTCAAACTGGATTTGCGCCATTCTCCTGATTGGTCGACACGAGGGAGCGCTGATTGGTTGCTGCAGAGCGCAGGCGTCCAATCAGAGAAGTAGCGCCTTCCAAACGGGATTTTGCGCCCTTTCGTCTGATTGGACGGCGAAACCTCTGTCCTGCCTGAGAGCCGATTGGTGCAACAGAGTTTCACGCCTCTTCTCCCTGAGCGCTGATTTGTGCAAATTTTGAATTCACCGGACTAAACCAAGCAACTTCCTGGAACTAAGTTTCGGGAATATACAGAGCCTCAAGCCACAGACTTTAGACAATGATTACTCTGTACATCCAATAGCCCCGCTATTTGCAGGGATCCCGGAGGGGACAGGGGGCTATCCAGTGATATGTGTCTGATATGAGTGACCCCTTCCATTCCCGAGAAGCCCCTAAGTGTCCCCCCTGTATGCACTATGTTTTAATGTGCGTAACTATTGTCCAGTTGGTATCTCCCAGAGCGGGAGATGGTTATCTGCTGTATGCCATCCTCCACCATCCTGGGACTGAGGAATTTGTACTGAATGAATGATCTGTGTATAAAAGAAGCCTGTTTTCAATAAAGATTGTTAGAGAGTTTTACCTCCAGAACTGTATATCGTCCAGTAACTGGGGGGAAATGGGTCTCTTTGTATTTGAAATGGTTCCTGATCGGCTGAAGGAAGGGAATTAGAGGAGGTAACCGGTCGGATCGGGTTACCAGGTGGTCTGCTATACAGGTGATCTGATTATGTTGTACATTAATGTTATCCACACATTCCCAATGTGCACATATATATAGCGGGGAATCCCTCAAATCTATATTTAAGGGAAATTCCCTTAAACATAGACCAGCTCACAAGCGCAGGGAATCCCTCAAATGTTCTACGTAATTTCAGAGACTCAGACTCAGGGGATTCCACACGCTAGAGAGCTGGTCGTATGTCCAAGCAGTCGGTAAACAGGTTAAGTGAGGACTATCTGTATATATGTGACCCTGCGGCTCCCCAGGCCACTGGCAGCATCATGTCTAGTGGTAACCTAGTGACTTTGTGCAGGCTTCCAACTGTTGTATAGTAAAGAGGGGTCAAGCACACGCTATCTTCTGTTTCTAGTATCTCCTGTCTCCAACTTTCGTGAGCTCCCGGATGTCAGAGCTCTGCACGGCATGCAGGTAGATAGAAGGGTGGAGGAGCTGCTGGAAACTGAAGTTAGTTTCATCTGCTAGGCCCCCTCTTAACTATACCACAGCTGGAAGCCTGCATAAAGCCACTAGACTACCAGCGAGTGTAATGTCCCCCATCCCTGGCTACAGGTAATAGACAGGTGGGAATAAACATTATTTATTTTTTATTAAAAAAGTAAATAAATTTTAAAAAGCATTTTGCTTACTGAATGCAGCCCCTGTCCTACTAACATATTAAAAAAACACACACACACTAAATCCATTACACAAACACTGGATCCACTACACACAACATCCACTATACACACACTCTCTACATCCACTATACATACATACATACACCCTCTGCATCCATTACACACATACACTCCATCCACTTCACACACACACACTTTGCATCCACTCTACACAAATTGCATCTGTGACATAAACACACTCCATATACTATACACACTCCATATACTATACACACTCCATTTACTATACACACTGCATTCACTATACACACACTGCATCCACTATATACACACTCACACAGACTGCATCCACTATAAACACACTGCATCCGCTCTACTCACTGACTGCATCATTGTGGGTGGACTCAAGCCACTTTAATTAAAATAAAAAAAATTCTGAATGCAAATTATGCCAGTATAACTTCGGATGGCTTTAAAATATTTAAAATGTTAAATACTGGTTATTCTATCTGTTAAAGATTTATCAATAGACAACTCACCTGGACAACACACATGCATAATAAATCTCATGGAAAGTCAGTTTATCCTGCATAATTCAGCTCCAATTTCAGAAAACTGGCTGAGTACAGCTATAAATTCAGATATACACACTGCATAGAAGTACCCGGAGCAATTGTTCTAAGCCTAGGATCAGTGCAGTTACAAGAGGCACTGCTGCTCTTGCATGAATACTTTCCCATAGGAAATCATTGAATCCTAGCAAATGTTTGTGACGTCACACCTGTGTATGTCTAATGTTGGTATGTGTTAACAGCGATTGGTTTTGCCACTTCGTTGTTGCTGCTGAGCAAGTATCAACATAAAAGAGAGCATGTTAAAAGTATAATAATATATTGAAAAGGGGGAGAATGGGAGACAATCACTTCCAGCCTGGAATGTCCATTTAATACTGGTAAT